AATGTTGTTGTAGGGGCAACGTCGTTGGAACTGATGACCTTTGGTGGGAAAAGGGGCTTCGTTCGAAGTCGGTCGTAGCGATTGTCGAGGAGGAAGCAGGACCTGTGGTCGGAAAACGAAGTGTGGCCGTCGGCTTAGTCGAGAGCAGCGTCCATTCGGAAAGGATGCACCGAGCCAGCTCAATACCTACCGTAGTCCTCGCTTGACGTGTCATCCCTTGTGGGGGGATCAGCTTATTCGCCGATGATGGTCCTTCAACCCGAAAGATCTATTCCCGTTAGTCGAACCGCTTCAGACGACATAGCAATCAAGGCTTACCTACCTACTTACTCTTCTGGTCTTGATTGACAGCAAGTCGAGATTGTCGCGGGCGACAATCAGCTTCTTTCCAGCATAGCGTTCACGCATGATGTCAAGCCTTCAAAGTCCTTATCTGAACAGGGGACGGTATGTTGCTCGACTCGTGCTTGGTGGAATGGAAACTGGCGCTGGGGTCTGAGCTGGAGGTTGGGAGAATCCCAGGCCGCTCGTCTTGGAGCCGGCCCGGCCTTTGGCACACGCGGACGTATTGACGACGGAATGATCGGAGTATTCGATGTCTCGGCTTTGTCAACTGTGTTCGGGCGGGCTTGTCGAAGCCGGCGACTTAGGATCTAACGACACCGGGCAACCAAGGAGGGGGAACTTGAGGACATCAAGCGACATCGATGATCAAGTTCTGGAATCGAGTGAGTAGAGGGGCAGCCGTCCCGAGCTCTTTACTACCTAGGGGTTGGATGTCGCTGGTGGAGAGCCTGCCTTCTTGCTGGTACCGTTGGCTTTCCAAGGCATGGCTTTTGGGGAAGGGACAATGGGACCAATAACTGGTCCCAGGATAGCAAATAGATAAAGGGCAGCCAAGGCAGGTACCGGGGGCCCAGGGGCATACATATAGTGAGGTGTGAGTATCTAGGTACCTATCTGAGGTACCTCTTTCACCTGGTTTCGTCGTCCCTTCCCGCGCCAATTAAGCCATCGATATTGATGTCAAGGGCCATCCCTTCAAAACGTCGTTTATCGGGCAAGTACTTAGGTACAACTTAACTCACCGATACGTTGACTCAAAATGTGGAACGAGAGGACTCAGAAAAGGTACATACATGGGTCTTGTTTGCTGCCAGAAATTCTTCGTCACTTAACTGTCTTCACGTTACTTGGGGAAGTTGTCCTAGAGACCAGGCCTTACAATGCTAGAGTATTTGACGTTGACACAGATACATCAGGAAGAACGATGACACTCACCTGTTCTGAGCAAGTATGCTAACGAATGGAAGATTTCAGAGTCATGATTTGACTCACCAGGTTTGGATGAGGAGGACGTGACGGCTACAGTGGACGTTTGTCACGGAATACCAACTCAACGGATCACAGAAAACAGCGTCACTTTGGCTGAAACAATCCTTATTTCTACCTTGCCTCCCTCAAGCATTCTCCATTCATCCACAAGCGCTCCTAATATTTACCGTAGACATCATGTTGATGCCCACACCATGGTGAGAGAAGCTCCCTCTAGAGGTATAGAAGTCAAACGGTACATTTCTCGGACGATACAACTGGAAGGACACGTCTTGGAATCGAGTATCAACCTCATATCATCTAGTCTCACTGAATTCCTCTTGGGCTGCATGATAATGCTTTTGATGGACTGGACCAAAACTTGCAAACGGGCCTGATACTTTCCATCCAGAAAGTGATGCCCAGGCCCCCATCCTCCATCCCGTTTTCGAGGAAGTACCCAAGTACCTTGGGCTGCCCGCTGCCTATCAACACCAAGCCAGTTCGCTCCTTCCATCATTTACTTGGAAGTTCGAGGAATTGCGGTTGAATTCTTCATCTGTTCTCTGCTCAATGTTGGACACAAACGAGGAGGCTTGCCCTACCCAATTAGCTCTGGCAATGCACTGGTGCACCCACAAGCTCTGATTTCTATAAAAAGGCTGTAATTCTCCGCTCTCCCCCGCCGTCTTCGCTTTTTTTTCTGGCAACACCATCACCACCACCATCATTCTCTCCTTCGCACAACAGCGAATTTTCCCAGTACCCTTGGTAAAGATTCTTCCTTTGCTTTTATAACCACACTTCATTCTTCTCTCGTTCCTAACATCGATGTCTTGCTTGGGTGGATCAGAAACTACTCCCACCTGCGCACGAGCTGCCTTTTGTGCGCCATCATGAGCACCAACGGTGACAAGAAAACAGTAAGTTACCTTGTGCTGAACTTCCTTGTATCTCTGGAGGTCTATCATACTCAGGCATCCGGTGCTAATACTACATGTTTCATCAGAACCAGAACGGCGGTTACAACCGTCGTGAGATGACGGCGGCTTATGGCCTCGTGATGCTCAAGACAGGCAAAGACATCGAGCCTGTTGAGCCTAGCTCGGCACCGACGGCTAGCTCCGACCCTCCGGCCAGCACCAACCGGCCAGCCAGCCCCCGGGCCAACACCAACCTGCCCGCCCAGCCCGTACCCGCTGCTGCTGCGCGCCTCCGGGCTCCAGCCTCTCCCCAAGCCCCCGTTCCTGGCCAGGGAAGCCTCCCTGCGAGGCCACCTCGTCAGCAAGATCAGCACCGCGAGAGCGGCCCTGCTCCGGGTTCGGGTCTGCCCGCTAAGCCCGGCACCCCTCCGGCTCGCCCTCCTGTCGCTGAGCCCGTTCTCCCTCCCCGTCCTTCTTCTCCCAAGGGATACTAAGGGCCACCCTGGGTTTAAGGTTTTGGAGGGGGAAAGTTTTAGTCGTAGATGCGGATTTTGCAAGTGTTGGAGGAAGTTTCAAGACCAAGGAGCGACGACACTCCGATATAACATTTCATCATGGCGTTGGGTGTCTTTTTTCCAACCAACTACAACAGCTAATTACCTCTAATACTTAATAATAACATAATCTCTCGATGCCTAGATAACATTTGGTGAACCTCTCGTTGTCGTGAATGCTACTACAAGTGCACTGCAGTGATTCTAGTGTTACAAGTGTCTTGACCAATATCTCGTTTTTGTTTTCTTTGCATTTGTGAACCCGTATGCCCGTTATCAACAGAACATGCCATCATTATGCGATTGAAGGTAGGATATTGTCTCATCCTCTTTCGCAAGATAGGTAAATGCCAAGGTGGGGTTGATTCGAACTAAAGCGACGAGGGTGCGCACGTCAGACACTCGAGCATGTTTTCACAACAACGTTCTGTTGAAACGGTGTACGAGTCTTCGATTACAGAATGGAGGTGATTTTACAAATTGCCGGCGTTTTTGGTGGTTTCCATGGTTGTAAGGGTGAATGAAAGATCTTGAAGTGGAAGACAAACTTTATCAGGTCTTGGTACTGCGAAATATCTCAAGTTATCAAACACGAGCAGTGAGTCAGGCATACTGTAGGCGAGGGGGACTGTTTGATCTTGTATCAACTCTGGGTAAGGTGATTCTATGTACAAATAACCCTACAAGATCTCCCCAAGTGTCTTTTCTTGTCACCCATCCATGTCTCATCCGGTGACCTCCTTCACGCAACACCACCTGTACACAATGAGGCGGGGCCACAGCTCCGGTCGGTTCGGTACTTCTTTGCCAGCCGTTGTGTGCTGTTCCAAAACTGCCCATCGCTGCTAGGACCGGAATTTGTTAGGGTGTTGGTAGTGGTTGTGGTGATGGTGGTGGTGGTGGTGCCCACTGCTTCCTTGCTTCCTCAGCGGAAGTGCTCGGCCGCGATGCTGACCCAGCGGAACTTGTACTCGGTGCCGGGATGGTGAATGGGACCCTCAACAAGTACAGCAACCAGGAGAGCAGCACGGAGGGAGATGTGCTACTCTCCTGGCTGTTGTTTTGTTGAGGCATGACAGGAAACGTTGTTGGAAGACGGCGGTGGCGGCAGCGGCGGCTAATTATCAGGTGTCAGTTATGGTTGGAATGAAGCACGTTGTCAGGACGCAGACGAAGAGGAATAAAACTCACCAGGGGGAGGCAGAAAACACAACCGCTTGACGCAGTTGGCACAGGGTCGTGAGGCAAGCAAGAACGTGGCGGCCACTGCCAACTTCGGCCTGGAGACGCCCTACGTGGTGAAGCTGTGCTGAGGCTGGAAGCTTTGTTGTTGTTGTTGACGAGGAGAAGGTGCGACGAGCTATGAAGATGAGCTCGAGACACACCCGACGCCGCTGTGATGGCTGGGAGGGCGGGCTCGATGCCGGCGCCGGGTGTGTAGCCCCTAACTATCTTTGGCAATGTTTCGGGGCAAGTGTGCAACGGGTGTCCGTGAAGGCGCTTGATCTGAGGCGTTCATGTTAGGTCACGCCAGAAGAAAGGACAGCGAAAGGCGAGAATCGAGGGAAGCAGTGTCCCTGGCATTTGCTGCTTCACACCAGGGAATGCTTACCTTCATGAATCTGGCGCGGCGTGTCGACTTGACGTCCCAAGGACAGGGGACGGAGACGAACGATCAGTCGTTTCTCGCACACCGAGTGACGAGGACATCACGATGTAAGGAATGGTGGTGAACTTGTTGATTGAAGAGGAGAGGCAGAAGGTGTTGATGCACTCCTATGCCTTGATTTGAGTCTTGAAGACGGCCATCTTGAGGATCTGAAATATGTGGAAAGGAAGAGAAAATTTTCTGGAAAAGGCGGAGGGATGAGGGGTGATATAATTGTGAGTGTCTGGTGGGCGTCTGGTGCGAACGAGGGCTTGAACACGTAAGCCACACCACCAAACCACTCACATGAGATACTTCTCTTGCACGTATCCGCGATACTGATTTCACTTTCCATGCCCTAGAGGCGAATCATCAACCCCAGGGAAGGGGCCACACGTTAATGCCAGTCCAAGTCCTTCCCGTTGGCAGCTGTCGTGGGGTGGTGGCTGTGCCCTGGCCGCCAGCTCTGTTCTCTGGCTCCGGAGTCCAGTGTGGCTAGGCAGCTCCTTCCCTAGTAGTAGGTATATGGACTAGGTGCCTTCCTCCTTTGTTCAAGAAATTGCACGGCTAGTTTAATGGTCAGAATGTCGCACCTTAAGACCCGTTCTCGTTGGCAGGGGCGAGGCAGGAGCGAAGACGCGGGTTCGATTCCCGAGCCGCTGCCTACATTGGATTTTCTTTTTTTGTGCTGCGGTATGGCTTTTCAAGTTGCCAGCTGCACACTCCAATCATTTTTGTTACTTTGCCAACTAACAACAGCTTGACGAGGATCAAGAGTGAAAAGCATAGATAGATTAACTACATGTATTCTACCGGCTTTCCTTCTGCAGCCAGCAGTCAAGAAGATTTGAACCCAGTTCACAAGTTTGGGCTGACTTCAAATTCAACGCTGTGGAGGAGACATGATTTCCAACATGATTGTCCTCTGGCGATGTGATAACACTTGATCAAAATCACACGTGAATCCCGCTCTTACAATCTCCTTCTACCTTGTATCCTTTGTATTTTGTAAACATTAATTCCATCCCATGACAGGAAAAACTACACTCATACATTCCTTATACTTGATGGTACCTCTAGAGAAGGTTGTCTGTATCAACATACAACTGTCCATAAGGTACCTGCTAGAGGTCTGGTACTAAGTTGTGAGACCTTCTCCAAGGGTCCAAGGCCAAGCAAGCAAACTTCATTTAGATTCGACATTTGGTTTCAATGCCGGGGCTTCTTGACTGGAGATCCAGTAGGATCATCTCGTCCATGGCAATTCTTTGCTCCATTGTCGCGATCTTGTGTGCTAAACACCTCACCTTAAGCTTTCCTATTCCTCTAGTCTTGGATAGGGGGTGGTGGTGTTGGTTGGCCTCCCTGGCATCTAGCGCCTCATATGAGCTTGAGAGGCGTTCTTGCGCCCTTCTCGCAGCCGGACGGGCTGGCAGCGTCTATATCTTGCAGTTACCGTTGGGTAACTGCCCCCCACGTTGATCTGCTACCGTTCCGGTAGCTTGCCTAAGTACATGTCATCGTTACCTGCTCACCCAAGCTCTGAATCCCGAGTCACTCATCCTTGAGAGCCAATTCAATCATCGACTTCCTCGATGCCGTAGCTGGCGACCTGAGCCACGATCTCTTCGGCGCTGTCGTGCACGTCCTCTCCGTAGACTTCAAGTTCCCAACCCGCGAAAGGGCCGTTGGCGATGTAGACAAACGCCTTACCGTTGCGGCTGTGGACATCACGGATGTCCCACCTCATTGAAAAGACTTTGGTATTCTTTGGAGTGCGGCCCACCGAACTCGCCGTTGGTAATTCCTCAAGTCGGCGGGACTAGAGGTAGCATGGGCAGAGTCAGGTCCAGTCTAGAGGTAATCTGGCGGCTGATCGTAAAACTGTGAAATTCAAATTCGCGAGATATGTCTGCATATCAGTCAAAAGCTTTCATCTCATCTCAGTTGTCGTGCCCCTCTTTCTGATAATGTCTGATTTGAAGTTTTGGTAGGAGGTAAATAGTGCAAGTGTCTCGTCGTGCCCCTCTCTTCGTCTCTAGCCTTCTACTCCTCGGCAACAACAACAACAAAGCTTCGAAACTCTCGCGAGTTTTTTTTTCCTGCGCCTGGTCAAGACCAACAACGTAAGTACTATCACGCGCTTCTTCTGGCTTCACAAGATGTTTTCTGTGATGTTCACATCTTGTGATCTCGACGGAGTAATATTTTGATCACATCTTTTCGTGTTGATCTCACGTTGATGCGACAAAATCTCACGACCTCATCACTTCAAGTCACGATGGCTTCACCTTGACAGATGTTCCCTATCCTGTCACTGCACCCTGATAAACAAGCCTTCATCTATCTGCCAAAAATTCGCGGATGATGGTCAGGAACGTGTGCTAACCTTCTTTCCTTTCCAGTACCACAAAACCCTCACTTTCTCTCGTCTCGCTGCGCGCTCCCCGGGCCCGCCAGCCCAACCAAGCTCTCCTGCCGTCGTGCCGCCGTGCCGCTCGCCGTGCCCTTGCCCTCGCCTCCTTTTTTCTCCTCTTCCGCCGCCGGCCGCCAAACCCCCGGCCACCACCACCACACCACCACCACCAGCACCATGGCCCCCGGTGCCCTCGCCGCTGCCTTGGCCGCTCTCTTCCGCCGCACCGGCTCCCTGGCTGCCCAACTTTGGGGCTTCATTGCCCAGATGGTCTGGTCCACCACCACCACCACCACCACCACTAACCCTGCCGCCGCTGCCCGTGCCGCCGCCGCCGCCGACCCCGAGGCCGGTCTCCCTGCTGCCGTCTCCGCTGCAGCCCCCTCCTCCAGGCGCTGCGCAGCCTAGCAGGCTGCAATGCCCTGGGTGGAGGTGGGTCTGCGCCTCGCTCGCGCCGGGCTCCGCGAGCTCTGGTCCATCCTGGACCCCACCGCGCCCTGCCCTCCTCCCCGGGTCGGTTTTGTTTCGGCCCTGGTCGCCCTTTCCCGGCCTGGTCCGGTCGTCACTTCCCCGGCCATCGAGGCCTTCCTTGTCCCTGGCCCGGACACCCCGCCGCCGTCGCCTGTTTTCGCCGGCCGTTTCCGCCCGGTCCTTTTCCGCGTGCGTGGTCCGGCTGCGCGCCACCAGAGCGGCACCCGGGCGCCGCCCAGCACTCCCCTCGAGCGGCCTGCTGTGGGCCATGACCTTGGCTTGGCCAGCATCACGGCCGAGCACTTCCGCTGAGGAAGCAAGGAAGCAGTGGGCACCAGCGCGGCGTCGTTTGGTTGCCAGGCTAAGGAAGGAAGCGGAGGATCATCCCAGCCGTAGTTCTGACGGATGGGGGTTGGAGAGGAGGGGTTGGGATGGGGGTGCATAGGGGCGTTCAGGTTTGGTACATGTAAGAAGGGGAGGAATAGTTTTTCTTTGAGGATTGTAAAGGATGGGTAAATGTATGAAGTGGAGGATTTGGAGGGCATCCATTGGAGTGGCTTCGTGTTTTGACCATTGGCAAAGGCGTATCAGGATGGGCCGGATGAATTGACCTTTCTTTTGGTGTTCGAAACTTCAAAGTGCTGAAAAACGCAGCATGATACGTGATGTGATTAAACAGCCACTTGACTGGACGGGCGCCACTGAGCTCAAAACCTCGTCAACTATAATTGACCATGATGCTTGGTCCTTGGTTTCCCTTTGAATTGCAGTTTGAAGGTGTAGACCCCCAAGCTCACTATCTCCCATATCTTTACCTCAACACCCATTCAATAAGGCAAGCCCCATTTCTCTCCTGCCAGCTTGCCAGGCGCGGTCACCTCTCCCCTCCCAGCCCTTGAATACCCACCGTCATAATCTCTACCCTCATAATGACTATACGATCTTCGCCTCAGGTTCTCGGACCTCCTTGGACGATGACCCGAGTATTCTGACTCGGTCTCGCCGTACATCCCGGTACCATCAATCTGCCACTTCTCAGTAGCAGATCCCACAGACGGCAGCTTGCTACCTCCACCGATCCTGGACACCCAGCGGAAGGCGGTTCCAAGATCTCCGGTGAAGAGAAAGCCGATGAAGAGGACGGCGACAGTGACGGGAATGGCAACGGCCCAGTAAGCCCATTGCCCAACTTCCATGTCGCGAATGTCACTGGTGTTCATGCCAAAGATGCTCGAGACGGCTGACAGAGGCAAGAAGATAATGGTGACTACCGTAAAGGCGTATATCAGGCGTTCCTGGCGGTCTTTCTTGATATCGACCTTGTTCCGATTCTGAGAGAAAGCTTGTTAGCACCCACGCGGAGTACTTTACATGAAGAGAAGAGACGGGCGAACGTACCATTACCCTTAGCTGCTTGGAGTGAAGCTCATACTCCTCAAACTCGCGCTCGCGCTGATCGAGTTGCAGAACACATTCATTGAGGAACAGTTGACGGAAGCCTCCCGGATCTCGTGCGGATAGCTGCTTCGATTCCTCCGACATTGAGCCGGGAACATCTTCGACATAGAAAGGCGGAGGCTCATATCCCCGCTGCCCATAGCCGGGGTCGGGCTTTATTCCCGATTGTTCGTGATAATTGTATTGTCTATCTTGGACTTGGGCCAACGGCAGTATAATTTTCGGCCTTCCAGAGTAATTTATGGGCGTTGCGCGCGAACGAGTCGATGCCGGCATTCGGTAGGAGGACTGTTGGCTGTACTTTTCCAGACGCTCGAATATCTCTCGTTGCGACGTGATAGTATTCTGTATTACCATTAGTTCTTGGTCAAGAAGGTCGAGGCGCTGTTCGTGTGATCTGTCGGACTGTTTGCCAGTGATTTCTGATTCCTAGTTGTTGAAAGCCCCGAGTTAGCAATCTCCACTAGCCAGCGAGTCCACGGATGTCCTGTCTCTGACACTTACAATGGCATTCAAGTACTCAGAATATGTCTGGCTGATATTCGGCAGACCAGGGGTAACATCCGCTAGAAGCCTCATGCTCATTAATGAGACTAGCTCTTGGGGAAGAACCACGGCCTTCTCGAGTAGAGGCTTCTTAGCCATGTCTTTGACAATGGCATTGAGTCCTTGGCTGATGAGAGGTTTTGCATGGAAATCCAGGAAAGTCAACGCTCTCAGCGGATCAGTCGACATGGAAGAAAGGCCGAGGAGGATATGGAGCCAGCCATCGATCAGTTGATCGGGCACGTGGATCTGAACACGGTCCGCATGTTGCGCATGTAGAAAGGTTTCTGTGAAGTAGAGTATCATGCCGGCAAGCTCTTTTAGCAAAGCTCGTAGTTGGTCTCGATCGTCGGCCACATCTTCGTCATGTTGCTACGACTACCATCAGCATTATGATCCTTGAACAGCAGGGGCGACGTAGCTCAAACTAACCTTGACTTGGCTCTTCACGGCACCCCAGAATTTGGACGCCATTGGAATTTCACTTGTCTCAGGCAGGAAGAATTTGAAAACCATGTCGGCCAGGTTGAATATGTCAGCTCGTATCTCGTAGTCCTGCGGGCTGGATGAGCGTGTTCTCTTTTCGGCATGGACCAACTCCAGCTCCTCCTGTTCGAGCATGTGATAGACCGACAGTCGGCTGGCGCTAGGGCAACGTTTGTATGCACGTTGGTCGCTGACACTTGTCTCGTGCAACAAGATTGTTTCTATTTCGTGGAGGCGCTCGTCGAGTTTGGCTTCGTCAATCGTATTGTCTGTGGCCAGCGAAACGT